TGCTCAATGCCAAGAACCAGCCTTTTGAAGAGTCAACCAGACTGTGGTTCTCTTCCGAGTGTAGTTTCCCCAAATTCCTGAGTCCTCCTACTTGGAATTGCTCCCCCAGCTTCAAAGCCTGTCCTCTGTCCATGAGGACCTGTGAACCCTCAAGGCACCTATGCCACTTCCTGTAGACAGCCTTGCCCGGAGCCCACCTATGCGCCCTCCCCCAGCACCATCTGCGTGCTCCTTGCACTTTGTGTTTTGTTGGGAGACAAATGCAGATAAACTAGATTCCCACGCCCCCTTATTAGCCTCATGACTTTGGGCAAGTTCCCCAATCCCCCCGAGCCTCAGCCTCCTCATCTGAGAGGTGAGGACGGTAATAATGAAATTATTACAGGGTTGCCTGTGAAGATTCAATGAGATAGTATAACTCTAACACTTAGCACAGTAAGCCCTCAATAGATGCCAGCTATTATTATAACTGTGCACGGTACCATGGGAACCTAGAATCCCAGATAGCAATTATTTAATACTTACCATGTGTCCACTCTTTTGAGTATTTTAATGACTGTTTTAGTGCTTTTAAAAATATGTTTATTTAATTTTTTTTTAACTTCATGACAACAGTTAGGCTGTCATATGGTGTTATTGTCTCCAATTCATTGATGAGAGAAATGAGGCACAGAGAGGTTAAGTAACATACCCAAGGGCACACAGCTACTAGGTCTCCATAATACCACTCTTCCCACTTTATTATAGTTATTCACCCATCTCTCCCATTGGGGATCTGGAATATATAATTAATTTGTGCCTTCCCGGTGCTTAGCACACAGACCATCACAGTGGTGAAGAGTGCCATAGAACGTCTGTCCCCCTCCAGTCTTTTCTCTCTCTCAACATTGACCCCCTTGAGGGCAGAGGACTGGGTCCCTTGGTCCCTGCACCTGCTTGTTACTGATTCAACTGTGTGGGACCAGATGGCGCCTAGAAGAGGGAAACGAGATGGTTCTCACACTAGCACACACGTACTCTGGGCTCTCCACGTGCCGTCTCACAATCCAGCTTGATTCAAGACACTGGGAGCAAACAAGGCTCTCAGCAGCCTCAGATGAGCAGCAGGGAAATTAGTAGACTAGTGTACAAAGGAGTGTTTAATAATGCTATCACGCTACCCTGTCCTCGCGGAGCCATTGTGACACTCTGCATGAAAGAAGTGACAACCCTCAATTGCTGTGCATGATGGAGGCCTGGCGTCAGGTTGGCCCCCAGCCCCTAGAGCGCATGCACTTCCTGGCAGTGATGGCATGCAGGGATCAGGCGCACTGATGGCTTCATGCTAAAGTGTCCTTGCAGACCCTCTGTAGTGTGGCTGCTCTTCTGCTTGCCTGTCAGGAGAGTAATTTTCACTAAATATTAAGGAGCTGTTTGTAAGAATGCTGTCATGGTAACTGGGGGTGTGTGTGAATGCTGAAATAGCCTGGTGCTGCCCGAATTGTAGCATATTAATCAAGGGTTGGGTGCTATTTAATAAGCTTCCCTGTAGCCTTAAACTTGGAGGACCTAGGGGCTGGAGTTTGCCCCAGCTGTCACTGTCAAGGACGAGGGCTCTCATGAGTTCCTGGTGTTGTGTAGGGTGGATGGACAGATGGAGAGATGAATGCTGGAACCAAAATTTTAGATTCCACTTCTCGGAGCTCTTTCCTACAGCTCTTCTATTTTTTTTATTTTCCCTTTTACGGTGGAAAAACATTTTTGCCAGAGAATTGGGGAAAAGAGGTCAGGAAAGTAACTGGAGAAAGGCATGGCCAAAGATTTTTCTGCCTGAAAGGGGAGGTGATGGCCACAATAAGGAGGCAAAGAAGCAGAGTGCATGGGTTTGAACTGTGCAGGTCCACTTACACGTGTGTTGTTTCCAAGAAATACTGTAAATATATTTTCTTTCTTTTGATTTTCTTAATAACATTTCTTTTCTCTAGCTTACTTTATTGTAAACATACCGTATAAATACATGTAACATACAAAATATGCGTTAATCAACTATGTTATTGGTAAGGCTTCTGGCCACTTGTAGGGAGTAAAAAGTTATGTCCCCACTGTGCAGGGGGTCTATGCCCCTAACCCCCACGTCATTCAAGGGTCAACTGTATACTGGTTAGGATACGAGCAGCCTCATCAGCTTTGGGAGGGCCACCTGAAGCAAAGACATCCCCCACAGGCTGGAGGATGAGGGGCCTTCTCTGCATGTCCACTCTGATGCTGCTAAACCACAGCCCTTGGCTTAGGGGTGGACATGTGACCAGAACCTCCCAATTCCAGGACACTTGCTAGGAAGACTATGGAAGCAAAGCCCTCTTCAACGGGGGTCAACGAGAGAAGGAATCGTGCCTGAGTGAAGCCCACACAGAAGAAAGCTGCATTGAGAGATGGGGAGAAACGATGCCTGCTGACACTGTTTAGATCCAGCTGGGCTCAAAGCCAGACCAGCTCAGACTTTTCAGTTACACAGGCTGCTTTTTTGTGTTACACTTATGAAAATGTGAAGCAGACATCTATCTCATCACCCAAAGTCTGACAAATATAATCAAATACCCACTCATGTATTGTTACCTACTAGGCTCAGGTGTTAACTTTTCCTTAGCCAATAAACTGTGGGCTCTGAGATAACATGGGATGGGGTTTAGGGGTTTAGGGAAAGGCACCTAGGGCAAAGTTTCAGATGAACCACAGGGAAGAGTGGGATGTCATTTGCCACTTCTCTCTTTATTTCTCCTGTTTAGCTCAGATTTCAAGTCTCTCACTCTTGGAGGAAGGAGCAAAGAACCCCTCACGTGCTACGGAACTGAGTGTGGCTTGAACGAGGTCCCTCCTGGGTCTGTGCAAAAACCAAATGTCTACAGTGGCATCTTTATGTCTAGTTCATCAGGGTTGAGTCGATGTCATACTAGTGGCACCTGGGATGGCTGCACCTTGTTTTCCTGATTGAGCTGTTTCTTCTGGTCCCACCTCTTACATGCTGATGGCGTCCCAGGGTTCTGTCCTCTGGCTCTGAGCTGTTGCTGAGAGAGAACACCGTCACCCCATGGCCTACCTCTCTCCTCCGTCTGCTATCTGTCCATGTTTATTCTTTCCTAATAGGCCAGAGTGATGTGGCACCTTTAGTGAAGGTGGTACCTGCCCACATTGGTTTTTCACAGGACAAGAATAAAAGCTAATATTTATTGGGCACTTCCTGCCACATAAAACTGGCATAGGGTCAAGCAGCTTGACATGAATCCATTCCGTGAACCCTCACAGCCTCCTGATGTGGTAGGTACTATCATTACCCTGTTTCACAGACAGGAGGCTAAAGCACAGAGAGGTTGGCAACTTGCCTAAGGCCCCACAGCTAGGGGAAGAGACAGGATTTGAACCTAGACAGCCTAACTTCAGGGACTCCGCTCTTAACACAGATGTCACTTCCCTGAGCTGCCTCCTCATTGCTTTCCCTTTCAGTCATTCGACAGTCACTTACTGAGCACCTACTACGTGCCAGGTCCTGCGAATCAAGGACATGGCCCTTGTCTTCAAATCCCAACTCTTGCCCGAAGTTTTGTCAAGGAGGCACCAAGTCACGACTGAAACGTACTGTGCAGCCTCCCTCCCCTCCCGCCTCCTGCCATCGCCAGCACTCGGGACTCTGCTGAAAGTCCGGCCCGTGTGCAGTGACTGCCCAGGTCGTCCAGGCTGTCAGTTTCTTAAAGAAAAGCTCCCCCTCTGGACTCCCACAGTGCACCGCCTTCAGGACCCTTGATAAATACCTACTGCTGCCACTGACCCAGTCACTAAGCACAGAGGAAGCCTGGGGTGCTCATTGTCCCACTCGCCATGGGTGTCCCTCCCGTGCAATTTCCCCAGCTGGGTCAGGGGTACAGTTCTCAGGCTTCGTGGCCCCAGGTCTTGGTGACTGGAGTTTGTGGTACTGGTCCTACCAGAGAGCCCTGACTCCCTTGGGGAAGCCACACTCACTGTCCTCCCAATGCCTTTCCTTCTGGTCTGCGTGGGCCAAACCTCCGGCTGCTCTGATAAGCTGGTAAATCTCTTGAGGGTCCTGGTACAAGAGAGCTTCCCAGAGGCTCTGATCAAAACCCCCATCATGCCTGGAGAGATGCCCACCCCATCACAGACATAGGTGTTTGGGGTCACACCTGTGATGTGTGCAGCTGTCTGCCATTGGCTCAGGGACACCCGGCCAATGAACAGCACACCTTAGGAGAGACCCCAGGGTTGCCTCATCTAGCAGCAGCCGAACAGTTTAATAGCCGAACCCTGCACGTAGAACAGCAGTGCTGAGAGTACGTGAGTGCACGAGCTCACCTCATTCACTCTCTCTAAGCCCTCTCTCCCATCCCACCGCCCCTGAGGGCTTCCAGGTAATCATGGAACAGAGTTTGTAAAACACTGCCCTACTCAGAACTGCGCTTGAATTCTGCCAGCGACAGGGAACTCACTACTTCCACTGGGTGCCTATTTCACCTTTGCATACCTCTTTTGTTAGGGATTTTTCCTTCGGTTAAGTCAATAGTTCCCACTTTCCTCCTGTCAGTGACAGCCCTTTGTACATGCAAAGGTGGTGCTCTCACCTTTCTTTAGTCCTGCCTCCTCAGAGCTGTGGTTTACAAACTGGTGTGAGCCAGGTGGCTCCCTCTCTGTTCTAAGAATGTCTTCCAAGCCCTGGATAGACGTTCCCTGGAAAGGATTCCACGCACATGCCCTCTGGATGGTGATTCTGAGCTGCTGTGGTCTCAGCACAGGGAGAACAGCCCAGCCACTTGCAGGCTCGGTTTGCCTCTGGGGAGGGACTGGCAGGGACCCAGGGATTGCAAGGGACTCACACCTGGATTCCCTGCAGTGTGCAGTGTCCAGGTGTATCTGGAGGGAAACCCTTTCAGAGCTGCCCCTGCTCCTGCTATTTGTCTTTCCCTTCTTGACACCCAATTGAGGCCCCAACCTCTGCCGGGCACGCAGTCACTCACCAGTCCCGTATCGCTTACATCCTGGGAACCTTTTACACTTTGACTCCGTGACCCGTCAGTGCGTCAAGACCTACAAAGAAGAGAAATTCAATATTAAAAGCAGGGCAGAACCACTGGGCGTCCAATCTCTTTTTTGGCAGGACAGCGTCATTAGGGGACTGGGATGGAGACCAGCACAATAAAGGAATAGGAAGTAGTGAGGACGGAGCTGCTCATTAAATCAACCTCAAAATCTCTGGGCTTTGTGGCGACGCTGAGAGAGAAAAAAAGACCCTCACCCTGGGTGAGTCAGCAGCTTTTGAGAAGCTGGCCTTTGGGAAGAGCCAGAGTCCCAGCAAGACCTGGCCGGCTGGGGTGGGGAGGTGTCCCTTGAACCTCACTTGGCGTCTCCTCCAGGCTTTGGTGTCTCTTCTTCACAGCTGAGGGCCCTTTGGGGTTCAACATTGATGCGGGTGAGGGGGAAAACCCTGTGTGTAGGCCTCAAGTCCAAAGGATACTGCAGGCCTTCAAACAAAAGCCCCAAATGTAATGTGTATTTATATCCCGGGAGGCTTCTGCCAAGGGAACCCTGTGTGCTTTGAAAATTCCCCAGGAGAGCTGTAGCTGGAGGTGCAAGGCGTGTGCCGGGCTCGGAGGGTGCGTTTCCTGCATGGCAAGTTGAGGCCTGAGCTCTAGAGGTTCCAGCAGAGGCCGAGGCCGAGGCCGAGGCTGAGGCAGAGGCCCACCTGCAGTGCACGTGTCCTCACGGAGCAGCAGCGGTGCAGGTGAGCTGTGGGGAGCCCAGTCTTCTCACTCCCCACGCCCAGCCCTCCTTTAAAGCAAAACTTGTTTTTTCTTGCTTCCTTAAGAATATAGAGGTGAGCAGAGGTTTCTCGATTCATCCATCCCTGTTCTCAAAGGAGAACCCTTTGAGTGGGGGGGAAAACGCCTTAAAGGCAATAGTTGCTGTTGATTGAGTGACTTACCAAGCGCCAGGCGCTCTACACCTGACCTGTATTCTTGCTGTGCAGAGTGAATGCACATTACCTAGGAACTTGTTGGAAAGGCAGGTTTCAGGCCCCACCCAGACCTGCGGAATCGGAACCTGTTTTTTCACAAGCTCCTCAGGTGATTTCTGGGCACATTAAAGTCTGCAGAGGGCTCATCTGTTCTCCTCTTAATCACAGAAGGAGGGAAATCAGTCAGTGAGTCAGTCAGGAAGTCTCAGCCCTTCCCCAGGTGAGGAAATGGGCTGAAAGAAGCCAGAACGTGGCCATTGTGGTTTTAGAGCTGGTAAGACTTAGAGCCAATTCAAACCTACGTTCATGTGATTTCCGAGCTGGTGTCCCTCTGATGCCACTATTCAGGGGAAGTGAAATGGGAGGGTGAATGGGGCAGGCAGGCCTAGAGTGGGGGAGTGGACATGGGAAGGGCACTCAGCCAGGGGTGGGTGGCTGGCTGATCCCAGGCCCCGGAGAGGGAGGGTCTCGGGTATACGGGAGGGCGCTCAAAGAGGGAGGCACTGGATACTGGAGGCAGGGTTCCCCTCCTCCTCACTTTTGTCAAAGGCCAGCAAAATTTCCCAGACAGAAGTTCTGGGCCTCCTTCCTGCAGGGAATTCAGGCTTCTGCATTTAATCCCAGTGATTAGTTTACCTTGAGTCCAGGGAGTTTAGCTCTCTTGCCCACTGCCCTTAGAACTGACCATCCAGCAGGATAAAGCACCCCAGGAGACAAGCGAACCTGAATATCCAGGCAATGACTCGACAAAACTCTGCAAAACCGTTTATGGTCTAGAAGGAGCTTTTCATCCACTAGCTAATCGACTCCTTAAAAGAACTTGGGGAGTGTCACTAGTGCTATTTTGCCATTGAGAAAACTGAGGCACAGAGAGGTTAAGTGGTTTTCCTGCTGGCACACAGCTTTGGGGCAGGCTGGGTTGAGGTCCTCTGACTCCAAGCCCAGAGGTGTGAGCTCAGCTGCTCCCGATAGGGAAAGAGGTCACATCACAGGTTTATGATGCCCTCACTTGTGTCACCCAAATATATAGTCTTGCTCTACATTCTAACTGAATGGGTTTACTGAACAGATTCATGAAGAGGAAAGTGGTCCACAGCCCACACAGGGAGTGTGACTGGTAGCTTTCTTGATGTAAAGTGGCCGGCAGGCATTGCTGGTTTACCTGTGAGTCATGGATTATACTACATACCATTCATTCTACTGCACTTGCTTCCATAAGGCAGATGAGTGCATATAAGTTATATGAGGGAAAGGTGTCAATAAAAGGTGGAGGTCACACTGGTTCATAGGCAAACGTTCCCACCATAGTAATGTTTTGCATCACCAAATGGCAACAGCTGGATGCAAAATACCCCAAAACAGCAACTGACAGAGGACTCCTCGCTGCCCAGACACCCACTTGCTCCATGCTCCCCCTTTCGGCCAGCGGGGCCAGTGCTCTGTTTCGGAAGGTCTCATTGCTCGCTTCTCCCTGATCTTTGAGCAAAGGCCATGGGCTAGTTCACGTCTCCCTGTACATTTTGGCAAAGCTTGCATCTGCTCGCCCTCCTGAACTTCCAGAAAGGGTGCTGTCCCTTTCTGCCTCTATAGCGCGCAGCCTCAACCCTGCTCTAGTCACTCCACCAACATCCCCCTTTTAATTTTGAAAATATAGCCCTACAGTTACTCAGGTCCTAAATTACTGTGTTGTTGTTTTTTTTATTTCAAATTTTAGCATGCCCTTTGATCTGTGCCAATACCATCACTAGGACTGTGCTTCATCAGAATGTTGCATGAATTGTGAGGCTCTGCTGCCCCCCAACTGCCCCCCAAAGTGCTACGATTTTTCAGTTTTTCTGCATCCAAGGTTCTACAGGAATGCATATGTCATTTTATAGCAGAAATGCTTACACAATGGAAATATTATTATAGGTACTAATAATAACTATATAAAACAAATGTATAACATATAGTTATTAAATATTGAACATGTTAATATTGTTAAATATTAAATACTATATTAAATATTTGATTAACAATCATTTGAGTAGCCATATGTACCCGATTCTGTGCTAAGCACCAGATAGACATAAATAAATAAGACCCAACCCCTACCCTTAGGAAATCATGGTATGAAAAAGGGGAAAGACAAATAATAGATTGTGAGACAGGACAATGTATACAGAGGGGATACAAGGTGGAAGCAACTAAGAGATGCGTCATTTGTCAGGATGAAGACCACACTCCTTACCCCAGTCGGGGCCCTGCTCATCTCTCTCCGCCTCCCTTGCCCTGCTGTGTTCTGGGCTCACCAGCTGCTAAGTTTCTTGAACCCACTGTGCACTGTGCAGCCACATGGCTATGCTGTTCTACTCTCTCTCTCTTCAATGCTTTGTCTTCCCTCTTCCCCTAATCAACCCTGACTTACCCTATAGGACCGAAGGAGGTAACGCATATTAAGTGCTTAGAATCTCGTAAGCAGGTATGTTAATTACTATTATTATGGATAATACTTATTATCCTCCACTGACTAGGTGTTTCTTCTTGAGCACAGAGAAGTAGAGTGACTTGGCCAGGGCTAATTATTCTCAGAGCTGGGGAGTCTCACTGAATCGGTTCTGGTTCTCCATTTACCCTTGAACCCAGCACTGTGCCACCATCCACTCGACCCTTGGTCCTAACCAGCGTGGGGGAAAGAGTGCTGATCTTGGAGACGGGGTGCCTGGGTTGAGTGTGGTCCCGGTCCTCGACACACTTCTGTGTCCTCATGCCGATCGCTTCCCTCCTTGGGACCTTGGTTTCCTTGTCGGCCAAGTGGGCCTCCAAATACAACTTGCCTCCTTGGGCTGTATGAGGGACCAGTGTCATGGTGCCCAACACAGTTCAGCATGTGGAAAACGGCAGCTCTCATTATGAGCATTATAAATGAATTACAGGACACTTCAGTGACCTTCCAGCTCTAAATGTGCACACATTTCCCGTCTTCCTGGCCCGGGACCCCTTGTCACCAGAAAGTACTGGTCACGTGGAACAAAATCCCAGTAAGGAAAACCCCTGTAGGATTTTCCATACAGGTCCCCTTTACTCCCTTTTTGTCCATGTTAAGCTTATCAAATTTCTAGACACCTGAGGGGAAAAAGAGGGAAGCTACCTGAACAGTCTGTAGAAGAAAAACACCCTCCTCTAGGGTCACTCCTCCAAGGCAGTTTATTCCATTCTATTTTTCATTCAGCAAACATTTAGCAGCTGCCTAAGAAACTCTAGTTTCTAGTCTAATAAGCATGTCACTGTGTCCTGAGGTGAGGGCCTCACACTGACGAAAGAGAGCAATTGTGGAGTATGGGGGAGGGAGCAACAGGCTCTGCAGAGATCCAGACTGGACAAAGGAGAGAAAGGTCAAGTTAAAAGAGGGTGAAAAGCTAAAAGCCACTTCTGGGGAGCCATCATTCTGCAAGCCAGAAGTGTCATCTTAAGTTGCCTGTCTTTGCTCCAAAAAATGTTTCACTTTAGTCACCAACAACAGCGTTTCATTACCAAAAAAAAAAAATCACTAATGAATGACTAACACAACAGCCACCCCTTCCTGAGCACTCGCTCTGTGCCAGGCCCTGAACTGGGTCCTCATGTCTTATCTCTCTTTCCCACAGCAACTCCGAGGAGCAGGTATTCATATACCAATTTTACAGATGGCAAACCTGAAGCTTGGCATGATCAAATAAATTGCCCAGCGTCAGAGGAGTAGAAAGTCCAGCACTGGGATTAGAACCCCAGCTTGACTGAGCAGTCTTTCCGTTCTTCTTGAACATCGCCTCTTAAACTTTGACTTCATGACTGGAGTGGTTGGAAAATTGGGCCATCTCTCCCACCAACCCCACCTACTCTTCCACTAAGACTCCCAAAGCCTACTGAGGAGGCTGAGGTTATGACTTCCCCAGGGTGGGTGGGTGAAGCTTGACACCTTGAACGAGAGCTCCGAATCCTACTCTAGAATCGATCTGAATTTATTTCCATATATTTCCCCCTCAAAATTGTCAAGCACAATCCACACTCTGGAAGATGTGCTCAGCACCGGGAGTGTCTCTTCTGCTTACTGCT